ATATTTTCCTTTAGATAGTTTTCAATAACGAAGGAGCAACATCAGCATGAAAAGAAAAGTTCGGACACGACGATGCACGTAAACGGGCATATGACACACGACGACGCGAAGCAAGAAATGAGTAAGTTTCGCTGTTGCATATATATTACTAATATATTCAGTGTATTTTTTAAATTAAAAATATATATACTGAATATATCGATATTTTCTGTATAATATATACATACAGAAAATATCGAAAGAAATTAGGAAGGAATTAGACTATATTGCCGATAAAATGATGTACAATAGTTTGGCCGGTATTGAGCATCATAAAAAGACGGAAATTATATTTATTATGGAAAAAATAAATCGCAGATTTATGCGATTATATCACATAACATCATCACATATATCATAAAATTAACAATATCGCATAATATTTGTATTAATGAACAAATATAAGTGCATGTAGTATGTATTGTAAGGAATAAGTGTTCCAACGATAATACCGTGGTCAATACTGCACAGGGTTTTGAAGAAAAAGGTAGAAGTTGTGCTAATGGTCAGTAAGAGCAATTTATGAAAATGGACACCCACTTCAGAACATAAATTATTCGAAACAATGAATTGCATAAAAATGGCAAAAAATAAGACAAAAAGAATTTTAAAAACTATTTAAATTGTTATAAAAAAAATAATAGTAATTGTAAAAAAATAAAGGAAATTATACGAAATTATAAATAAATTTTCGAATTTATTTATAATTTAATTAAATTTTTAAACTATTAAACGAATTACGAACTATTAATTAAATTATTAAACGAATTAAATAAATTTTCATTTTTATGTACAACATAAACTGTCGTTTTATCGGACTGATAATTCTTGCCATATTTGTATTTTTACAGAAAAAAATATTTATTTTTAGTTCAGAACATAAGACATAAGTTGCTAACAATAAGTTATTAAAGTATATTTTTTATATCTTTTGAAGTATATTTTTGTTTGTTATTCAGTTTTTCAAATTTATATCAATGTGCTCCTTTTTTGTCCGGGATTGGATAACATAGTGCGATATCGGTGTCATTTTCTCTTCATTCTTAGGCTTAAGTTATATTTATATTCTTTATGAACAAAATTTGCATTATTTGTAAAGAAAATATGCTATCGCATTAATTTATATAAATTGTATGTACAATTTTATATACATATACGTATGTATAGTACATAATGGAAATTTTTCAAATAATGAAAGTAATCAAAAATTTTTTTTGATTACTTTGAAGATTTGAACGAAGAATTGAGTAATTGTTACGTCGAATTGATAAATTCAAACTTGTAGTTAATTTCAGATTTAATTTGAATTAAAAAGTAGAAATATTCCAAAATTTCTGAAATTGGAAAAGAATAATTTTCTTAATATCATCGAAAAAGCGTGAAGAAAAACTGATACTAACTGGAAAGATATCGTATATGAAGAATATTCATAATTTTCGTAATTGGTGAATAATTTAACTACGCAGCGTAACTATAGATTCGTAAAGACAATGGAACAATATAGTGTGGCAAGGAGCCACAGAAATGATTCGACGTGGAATTGAATGTACGTCGTAAATACGGAAAATAGATATATTGTATAGTGACTGGTGTCATTTGTTACGTAAGTCATTCAAGGTGGCACGATGACGTTATGCGAAGGTGCGCCATGTTCATCCTGTTCTTTCGTTAATATCGATCCAACGCAACGTTTCGCTTCTCTGATCGGCGAACGCATAACAATCTTTAGCTGGAATTTTGCAAAATTTCAACGGTCATCAAACATTTGATTCCATTCGACTAGTTGCAACGCTTCGTCGTATTTATCGAACATCGTATAACTAGGACATCCACTGTTATATTTTTAATGTGAGCTATGAGTACCTTTTGAATTTAAAAAATCCTCTCGTAAGAGGAAAAGATTTTCCCTGATGGATTTTCAATAATCTCATCTTTTAATAATAATATAATATACCAAATTTTATAATGAAACTTTTTTAATATTATAAATTATTTCCAATAATTAGTTTTTTGTCATAGTTAAAAAATCATATTTATGTGTTGTGTTTTTTGTTTTATATCATCGTTTTATATTTACGTTTTATAAGTTAATTATATTATATTATGATACAATGCGGTAATTAGAAATGCAATGTATATATATATATATATAT